TTGCCTGTGGACTGGAGGGTCCCTGGTTCGATTCTGGTCAAGGGCATGTACCTTGGTTGTGGGCACTTCCCCAGTGCGGGGTGTGCAGGAGGCAGCTGATCAATGTTTCTCTCTCATCAATGTTTCTAACTCTCTATCCCTCTCCCTTCCTCTCTGTAAAAAATCAATAAAATATATTTTTTTAAAAATCACTACCTTTTTAAGTGACTTTATAAAAACTTTTAAGAAAATTCAATTTTTAATGTGGACATACAAAGAAATGTCTATTCTAACTTCAGAACACATCTCAAATTAATCCACATCTCTCAATCTATGCTATTCATTTATTCTAAACAAACCTATTTCCTTATGTAAATTGTTGTTGTTATAATAGCTTCCTAATTGGTTCCATTGCTTTTCTGCTTGCCCCCTTCCCATCTATTCTTCTTAAAACAGCCAGAATCAACTTTGTCTGTAAAACATAAACTAAATCATGTCAATCTCTAACTGAAGCTCCTTCCCTAACTTCACAATGTTGGGGTAAAAACTTACGTTCTGTGGCTAAATACATCCTGTGGATTTGTTTTGCAGGGCCATCATAATTCCTTTATTTCTTTTCTTAAATTTTAAATTTGAAAGCTTTTACATCATTGAGCATCTACTCTCTAGTTGCCCATTGTCTTCACAAATCCCCTATTCCTGCTTCTGACAAATTTAAATTCCCCACCCAGCCCAGAAAAATATATAAGTGTTGAGTTTATTAAAAAGCAACATCAATTTAAAATATTTTAAGCAGCTTTTGGGTATTATTTACTTAGGTAAAAATAAAAGCACTAGAAGTTATAATATGCTTATTATTTGCCAAACACTTTAAATGTATCTTAATATTAATATTATCACCAGTTTTCAGTTCAGATAAACAAACAGAATTTTGGAGTTAAATTATTTTCCAAAGATCATCTGCTATTGAATTGCAGAGCCAAGACTGAACTATAATCTCAGTGAAAACAGAGGAGTGAGGATTTTTATGTATGTACACTTGTTAAAACTGATAAAATTAACCACTTTAAACATGTGCAATTCAATATTTCAATGATCTCAATTATACCTTACTATAGTTGTTTTTTAAAATATTCCAAACTTTCCAAATGATGTGTTTTTTCCTGTATTGTAAGGAAGTTTATAATAACACTAGTAGCCGGGTGCATGAAATTCGTGCACTGGGGTTGGGGGAAAGGGGCCCCTCAGTCTGGCCTGCGCCCTCTCCAATCTGAGACCCCTCAGGGAATGTCCAACTGCCTGTTTGTGCCCACACTTTTAACAGATAACAGCTCCATTGTTGTTTCTTTCTTATGCTTAAAACCATTGGAATTAGTAGGTATTCAAAGTGTGTATACATTTTCAGGGGACACCCTGTATATCTCTAGACATTTTTTGGGGGACACCCTGTATATCTCTAGTCAGCGGTGAAAGAAACCAACAGCAGATTTGGAACCCCCAGATAGGGAACCTCGCTCACTCCCCACATGTCTCCCCACTTCACTTTCCACCTTTGTGGGCAGCAGGAGAATCAATGTTTTCTCTCATTAATTTGGAAAAGCATGTCCTGACACCCGCTGCCTGGCAGGCGTGCGCTAGGCCCCAAGCAAGCGAGGCTCAGTCAGGGCAGCCTTTGTTCATGGGTGCCGGCACCGAAAGTGCACATTCCTCCTCTACAGTCGCCCCAACTATCCCACTGTTTCACTGAGAGGATGGAATTCCTCTCCGCCTCTGGGTTCTTGATCTTGAACACTGACCGAAGGCACCTCAGCGAGGGCCGCCCACGCCCACCAGGTGTGTCTGTCTGCACCTGCTCCAGCCTCAGCACCTGCATTAACCCCCTAGAGGTGATCTCATAGCTGCACTGGCCTCCGTGGGAACAGGGCATCACCACTCCGCCTTCTGACTGTCATCTCACAGGCGCCCACCCTCAGCACCCAGAATACCCAGACACTCTCCAAAGGACATGAGCGCATCAGAGGGGATGTGTGCACATCCTGTGGGGGTGTTAGGCATGCCGGGTTGATTGAAGTGCTGTGGAGAGGTGGTGGGAACTTGTGCACGCCTTGGTTTGCAACTGTTGCAGGCGCAGGAGGGTGACAGTGGGGAGTGTTCACACGCCAGGAGGGGATGTGCACACTGGAGGCCTATGGCTTTGCAGATCTGCAAACTCCCAAGGTGCGGCCAGGAGGACGTCAGTCTGGCCTGTCATGGTGGCTGTCCCTGCGATCCTGCACCTTCTGGGACAGGAGGG